ACGGGCTCAGGCGCTGGCGGGCAGGCAACGGGCTCAGGCGCTGGCGGGCAGGCAACGGGCTCAGGCGCTGGCGGGCAGGCAATGGGCTCCGGCGCTGGTGGGCAGGCAACGGGCTCAGGCGCTGGCGGGCAGGCAACGGGCTCAGGCTGGACGCTCTTGGGCTGGACGGTCCCTGCAGGACGAGGCTCTGGACCCTGGGCGGTCTCGGTAGGACGAGACACTGGAAACAAACACACTGGGGAGACAGGAACAGAAGGGAGATCTGGAAAAACTTCCTCGATGGTGTAGGACGATCCACTCACCCACAGGATGTTATCAATATATTTAGTCAAGGAACACGTGGTGGCAATAGCTGGGAATTGCCTAAAGAGTGGATCGTCCAGACCCATCCAGAAGGAGTGCTTGAGGGCACTCTCCTTCCAGGACACCTGGTGGGCAAGGTGGAGGAATTCCTCGACGTAGATCTCAATAGAGCGATGATTCTGGGTAAGGTTGAGGAGTAAGTCTGTGGGATCCATACTGCATCTTAGGTCCGTTCTTCTGTTACGGGCGTGTGGTGCCCAGGAAGCACAAGGAGACAAGGAGAACCAGTCAACAGGAATTTAATCAAATAATCCAGGGAAACAGTAACCACACTATACATCAACGAGAACGGACCATGAGTCAGGAGAACACAGGGTTTAAATACACTAGAACAGACTAGGGGAACAAGGCACAGCTGGGGCAAATTAACCAAACACAGGTGAAGGGACTGAATACAAACGAGGAGCGGGAAACTAGAAACAGGACTGAACCAAATACACAAAGAATGGGGAACCACAGGACACACATGTAACACAAACACAGTAGGGAGTGACCATTACCCGGTAGTGACTAAACTTGGTATAAAGATATGCTATGAAAAGGAAAAGAGAATTCCTAGATGGAAACTGGAGAAAGCAAATTGGGAAGGTTTTCAAGAAATTTGGAAAAGAGATGTTTGACACTTCAAGTTGAGAATCAGATGGATGTAAATATATTTAATAATAAACTAGTTAATGAAATCATTCAGTCGGCTGAGGAAGTGAAACCTAAAAGTACAGCAGTGAGATACCAAGAGTGTGCCCTGGTGGAATAATGACTGTAAAGAAGCTATAAAAGCAAGAAATAAGGCATTCAGGCAACTCAAGAAACATCATTCTCAGGATACTTTGATTTTGTATAAAAGGTGTTAGGGGTGTCAGTTAAAGGACCCAGAACCAGATATGAAGAATGAAGACCCGGAGTCGGAATTATAAAAATTAAAGAAAGTTTTACTGAACATAGTTTTCCATTTCATCCGCAGAAGTCAGCTTCAAGACTCACTCAGGAGTTCGTAGGCCGCCCCCTTACAGTTACAAAGATCACAGCAGTTATACCATTTTCAAGGTCTAAGCTACGTCATTGCTTACACGTTGAATGATTCTCATTGGCTACGATATAGATAAACACAGTAATTTTCCACACATATTCAGATAGACGAAACATATCTCCATCGATGAGGCACGTCATGACCTTCCAGGTCACAGATTTGGGTTGCTGGCGCCAGTGTGTCCAGAACAACAACTCATTCAATCTCCAATAATGGCAGTGGTTCCTTAACCTGCAACTAAGAAGACTAACACTAAACTTTAGTCTAACTGGAGTAAGACTTTAACAAAGAAATAGTGCCTTGAACTGTTGGCTTCAATGACCCCTTTATGTTTCAACACTCAAACATAAACCAAATCCCTATTTCTTTATTATTTTCACTGTTACTGCGTTCACATAGGACACTAGCAAATAGGAGCTCCCATCAAGGCTGAAGAGAGTCTGAGCGTCTTATTATCAGTTAAGTGTACCAAAACATAATGGTAAAACATTCGCTCGTTTGGGAGAAAAACAGATAACATTTGCTTCTCAGAAAGCAAATATAATAGAAAGAATACAGTTTAATATAACAATTAAAGTTCAATAAAGCAATGCTCAATATAGCTTGACCATCTGTACAGAGAACTATCATATGTGTTGGACATATGTGTTCACGACGCCTTTAGGATCCATAAACCTTTCTCCTGAGACCAGAGAAAGAGACAAATGGCCTTGTGCACCTAAAAGAAGCTGGTGACTTGTGCATGTACATCAGCATGCATTTAAGAATATTATTTCACAAGCAAAAGCACAAAGAATACATTTATGTCAATAAATGATTAAGTAACAATGAATATACTTAATTATTGATTTTATAAAAGAAATACATATTCATTCAAAATGATATTATGAAATATATACTGAAGAGGCAAGGGATTTTGACCACCCCTTCAAAGGGCTCAGGCAAAAGTGATGAAAACAATAAAAGCACAAAAACGTTCATTCTGGAGGCAATATAGTAATAGCATTGGAAGAGAAGTACAACTATCAGATGTATGAGGCATGATCAGAAGAATGGGGGGATCAGAAGGAATTATGAAATGCCAGTGTTGAATAGTGGGGACAAAATAGCTGTCAACAATCTAGAAAAGGCTGAACTCCTGGTTCAAATATTCAAGAAGGTTCATAGCTCAGATCATCTTTCTGAAGAGCCAGGCAGTGTACACTCTTAAAATGGATGTGTTAAAAACAACACAACCTGTGTTATATCTTAACACACCTGTGTGTCTAGTTAAGGACAACACATTTTGTGTTACTTTTAACTCAACCAGTGTGTTATTGTTCTTAACACGGAGTGTGATTTCACTAAGTTTGCACTTTGAATTAGATTAAAATGTAGCAACTGACAAAATATTGTGTGTAAATAAGTTTTATTTACACTGGTGCACTCTTATAAAATGATTTTGTAAATAACACAACCTGTAAAAAGAGATGTTAAAAATGACACATGCTGTGTAGATTTTAACACATATAGTGTGTGTGCTTAGGGACAACACATTTTGTGTAGATTTTAACACATGCTGTGTAGATTTTAACACATGTAGTGTGTGTGCTCAGGGACAACACATTTTGTGTAGATTTTAACACATGTTGTGTAGATTTTAACCCGTTTTGTAGATTTTAACACATGTAGTGTGTTTGCTCAAGGACAACACATGTTGTGTCAAATTTAACACACAACCTGTGTCGTTTCTTTACACATCTCTGTGTTTATAAGGATTACACATTTTGTGTTACGTTTAACACAACTAATGTGTTAGACAGCAGCAGTGTGTTACACACTAATGTGTTATAGTAACACAACTTGTGTCAGATATGCGTCACATGTGACTGTAGTCGGAGAGTATTTGCCAGAGTTACTTCCCGTGTGCTTACAAAAGTGTTTGGATGAACACTGACACGTATTGGTAACTTGTGTTTATGTAGTCCAGTGATGTTTAATAGAGTTTGTTTGAACATTTGGATGTTTTAAACATCATTAATCTACATAGACAAGCTCTTATTGAGAATTAACAGAGGTTTGATGTTTCATTTCAGTTTTATTTCAAGTCACCAGAATCGTGATTAATGGCTCCTTTATTTGGGCTCTTGACCCTTTACTCTTGTTTTAGTGTTTCTCTGCCTGCTGTAACTGTATTTTAATAAAATACATCTGTTATGGTGACAGAAAATATGATCAGAAGGTTCTTGAAGATGTCATAATCAGCAAGTTATGATCAAGTTTTTGAGTATATGGATGGTGTGCTTTATTTTAATGATTTATTGTTAGTTCTAAAGATTTTGTGAAACTACATCCAGCTATCCAAAAGTGCAGAATAACAAAAAAAGTTTAAAACTACGGCAGAAACCAGTCAAATACAGATATCAAGAATCAGCGTATGGATCTCAATAATGGTGACAAACGAAAAGTTCCATGCCGCAATGCATGCTGGGACTTATAGATGAGCTTTATACTAGAGACATGAAGCTTTGCCACCATTGTTGAGAGTCATATGCTGATTCTTGATGTCTGTTTTTGACTAGTTTCTGCTGCAGCTTTAAACGTTCTCTAAACATATATTTTTAAAAATTATAGCATAAGGTAACATACACCATAATATCATGTAAACACTGAGTATCTGTAATCAAATATAAGTGATCAAATATAAGTTATCTCTTAAACATTAAACTTCTCTTGCTATGTTAAAAAACATTATGTTGAAAAATGATCATTTAATGATCTTTTTCCTCAAGATAATTTCAACTGTTTCAGATGTGCAATATAAATACACAGAAACAGCAAACAGAGAAACAAATGTTAAGGTTGAAGGGTCAAGACCCCAAATAAAGCTGCTACTAATCACGATTCTGGTGACATCAAAACAAACATTCAATGAATCGTCAACACAAAACCTGGTAATTCTCAATAAGTGTTTCTGTAGACGTCTGACAGAAATAAATTGTTTGTTATAATAAATTAGTTATTAATAACAAGTGAAATCAGCATTTGAAAAAAACATTGAAACCGAGGCATGATGTGATTGGCTGCCAAAAACACTCATTAATCTGAAGTTTTTTTATGAATTAAGATTTTATTTATTTATTGTAATGTATTGTTTCATTTATTTTAGAGCTTGTTATGGGATACCATATAAAATATACTACCTCTAATTAGGTTCATAAACACAAACTTCCCTCCACCCATTAAAATTCTATCCAGTTACATTTTAACACACATTGTGTGTTAAAACTACACAACTTGTGTCAAAATACCATCAACACATGATGTGTGTTGTTTTTTAACACATCTCTTTTTAGAGTGTGTATATGTTGAAATTATTATATGTGAAAGAAAGTAATTTTATATAATGGAATATAGCATTTTTTTGTTCTGTTTTTTTTTTGTGTGTGTTAATTTGTTATGGTTTATTTTCAGTTTGTTTATTTGTTTTGTTTGGTTTTTTATGTTTTATTTATATTTTGTATTAAAGTATAGCTTGATCCCATGCTTGATCCATATTCCATTCCAGTTGGTGGCGGTAATGAACTAATAAGATAGGTCGCCAACCGCCAATACACCAAAGGAGAAGAAAACGAAAACGAAAGTAACAACTGCTGACAACTAAACCTGTCGCTCACTGGATTTGATTTCATCTATGGTTCAGAAAACATGTCTATAGATGTCAATTTAGCACAATGCCTACCAAATCTAATAACACTCGCGGGCATTTATGTGTTTAATCAACAATCCATCGAGACCAGCAAGAGATTCTGAGAACGAAGCGCGCGGACTGACAACAAGCGTTACTAAGTTTAAAATACTGATAAATTCTCTTCTTAGTGGACAAGACTGCAAGTAAGTTTATTACATTCTCCATTACAGTCATTATTGATTATTAGTAACTTCATATTGTATATTAAGCGATATTTAAATGTGAAGTTACAGAAGGCTGTTCTTCTGCTACTCCGAACAGAAAAAGAATCTGACTGAAATTACAATCTTTTGAAGTAAAAACACAATAAGTTTTATTGAGAAACGTTTGTTCAACACGAATATGTTTCTAAAACGTTTTCTCCCATTTCCTCTTCCGTGTTACACTGAAAAAAATGATGTGTTGGCTTTACTTAATTTTTTCATGTAAACAGGTTCCACCGGTTGCACATAACTTTGTTTTGTTAAACAAACATAATTTGTTCATGTAACTTCAACATCATGGAAGTCATTTTAAGCCATCCAATCAAACTCTGAGCTGAGTGTTAAAGTTAATGAGACAATTAAGTGAATAACTGAGTGATGATTGAGCATTATTGAAGACACCTGATGTTAACAAGCAGAATCACTGAAGGAGAAAACCGGAATTTAAGGTCACCATTATGGAGATGAGTATTTGTTTTAGTTGGGCTCTTGACCCCCACATTATTTACTTTTGATTTTGTCTGAGCTGTAACAGCCAGATCATCAACTAGAAAATGTGATCTGTGGATGTTGGTTGTGTTTTCACATAATCATTATATCACAATGATTTGACCTGAATTGTTGAACTCATACAGATGCAAGTTTCTGAGTTAAGTTTATCTTATGGATTATAGCAGTATATATAGATATAGAGAGAGATCACCTCTGAACTAGGGCTGGGCGATATATTGCACAATATTGTTATGCGCATCTAATCAGTAAAGCTGGTTCCTTGATTAGTAGTAAATCACCTTCACCTGCTTTCAGATGGACGATATGATGCAAATATGAGTGTTAAATTAACACTCAAGAGTGTTAAAGTTAATGAGATAATTAAGTGATTAATTTAGTGATGATTGAGCATTATTGAAGACACCTGATGATCACAAGCAGAATCGCTGAAGGACAAAATCACAAATTGTAAGTCACCGTTATGGAGATCAGTGTTTGCTTTAGTTGGGCTCTTGACACTTATATCAAAAATGTTACATTTTTTATTTGCTGTTACATCTGAGTTAAATCTGTCAGATGAACTAAGATAAAAAATTGTAAAATGATGTTGGTTATTTAATGACTTTCATCATTTAAAATTTATATCTGTGATTTATTCTGTTTGTTAATGTATAACTGAGAGTCTGCATAATTATCCAGAATGTTAAATATAATATAATGCATTTCTCAGAAGTTTTTTTTTTTTTTTTTATCTTTCTTTAAGGCACACACAGACTTTAAGATTCAGTCAATGCTTCTCAACAACGGTCACGAGCAGAATATTCAAGTAGGAAAAGTAAATTACATAGACAATTCAGGTCATAATTTATTCATACCGCAATGCATGATGGGAGACATTACTGAATTGTGATTGGTGGCAACATGTCACCATGGTTGAGATAGACAGGCTGATTATTGATCTCTGTGTTTCTGAATAAAGATGACAGTGATTTGATCAGAATATGTTTTATTAAATATGTTAGGTTATAAGTAAAACAGAGATATGCAGAAGAACCACATAACCGTAGTTAACAAGTTAAGCAAATCATCTGAATGAGTTTCATTTTTCAGATCACAGCATGATTATGTCAAAACATAACCAACACTATCAGATCACAGTTGCCTTTGTTCATTTGACTGTTATAAGTCAATATTAACAACAGGCAAACAAAATTTAAAGTGAAAGTAAAAGTGTCAAGAGCCCAACTAAAGCAAACACTGATCTCCATAACGGTGACTTACAATTTGTGATTTTGTCCTTCACCGATTCTGCTTGTGATCATCAGGTGTCTTCAATAATGCTCAATCATCACTAAATTAATCACTTAATTATCTCATTAACTTTAACACTCTTGAGTGTTAATTTAACACTCATATTTGCATCATATCGTCCATCTGAAAGCAGGTGAAGGTGATTTACTACTAATCAAGGAACCAGCTTTACTGATTAGATGCGCATAACAATATTGTGCAATATATCGCCCAGCCCTAGTTCAGAGGTGATCTCTCTCTATATCTATATATACTGCTATAATCCATAAGATAAACTTAACTCAGAAACTTGCATCTGTATGAGTTCAACAATTCAGGTCAAATCATTGTGATATAATGATTATGTGAAAACACAACCAACATCCACAGATCACATTTTCTAGTTGATGATCTGGCTGTTACAGCTCAGACAAAATCAAAAGTAAATAATGTGGGGGTCAAGAGCCCAACTAAAACAAATACTCATCTCCATAATGGTGACCTTAAATTCCGGTTTTCTCCTTCAGTGATTCTGCTTGTTAACATCAGGTGTCTTCAATAATGCTCAATCATCACTCAGTTATTCACTTAATTGTCTCATTAACTTTAACACTCAGCTCAGAGTTTGATTGGATGGCTTAAAATGACTTCCATGATGTTGAAGTTACATGAACAAATTATGTTTGTTTAACAAAACAAAGTTATGTGCAACCGGTGGAACCTGTTTACATGAAAAAATTAAGTAAAGCCAACACATCATTTTTTTCAGTGTAGGCTGTTGTTTGTGTGATGTGAAATCGAAAGTATTTTTGAAGAAGACATTTACAGTAGACAGACAGATGAAGCCTAACGTCAATCAACAACAATCTGCTGTTATTAAACTCAATATTTCAGTTCGTATATAGCAATTATGATTAGTAGTATTTCAATATGTCTCTTATAATTTAGGTTACTTTTACTTAGTTAGTCATTGTGAACTTGAACTAATGATTGAATGGCAAACGATTAAAACATTTATAAAGATTGGGTAAATATGATTATAAAATGATATTATACTGTAATAATATAACTAATTGGGTTCAGTTTTCCAGCACAGTGTACATTTCTGTTCCCCAATGAATTCATACTGTATTTAGATTCAGTTAAACTCATTAAACAATCAGAAATTAAGACCATTCGGTTATTTTACATGGCATATATATTTGTTTGAAACTCACTTTATTTGATAGATTGTTTTTGCTGTTGCTGTTGTTGATGATAAGTCTTTATTGTTGATGTGTGTAAATGTTGTGATTTGCAGGTGATGCTGAAGGATTGAGTGTTTTCTGATCAGTTTTCAGGGTCAGTTTAGCTGCAGTATGTCAGAGGAAAGAGGAAAGGACTCTCTCTCTCAGATGAGTCTCTCAGAGAAACACAGGTGAGACTGCGTCTGTTTTCACACTCTCACTTTAAACTCCACTGGACTTTGTGTTTCCCTGTCAATAACACAACTTTGAACTGCGTTGTATTTTAAAATGCTTTGACCAACTTCAATTTTAACTTCTTAAATTAACTCTAGCTTTGTGTATAAAGCCCTGTTTGGTCTATAGAAAATATCACAGTTTTAATAACCTTCTAGACGCTAAATTAATCCAGATAAATGACTTTAGTTTTTAGATCATAAAATTATTGATTGACATTAGAAAACAACTATACACTTAATTTAATTCAAGTATGATAACAAAGCTGTTTCACACATTTCCGCTCTCTATTCTGTCAATAAATAAAAATGTGAAATGTTATCTTAAATTATGGCCAGGTATCTTTTAAATTCTCAACATGTTTAATCTCTCTCTTGTATATTAAAGAAATTGATAAACTAATGTGAGCCAGTAACTAAAATGATGGTTAACTATAAAACTGTAAATTGTGTGAGTGTGTGTGTTTCTGTGGAGGATTAGATGAAGACACAGATGTGTTTCAGACACAGTTGATCCTCCTTTACTAAAGTGTTTTCTCTCTCTCTGTGTTCTTTGTGTCATCAGTGTAAGATCAGGCTCACATGTGTCCAGCTCTGTGTCTCTGAAGAGTGATCGCTCTAAAGATGGAGAATTACCAAACTTCAGTGAGAAAACACCATCATCTAATAAAAGGTATTGTGTGTGTTTACATTACATTATAGCGTTGTATTATTTGTCCACAGTGGTGTGTGTGATTGAACTTGACTGTGTAAGGGTATTTATGAAACTCACTCCAGTAACACAGTTACACAGGCAGACACAAGGAGGCATAAATTCGCTATGAAAAATAAATTATGCAACTAAACATGTCCATCCATCCAGTGCTTTAAGTGGCCCAAAAGAGGTGCCGGTACTCTATTATTATTATTATTATTATTTATTATTTTATTTATTTTTTGCTGACTCCCCTCCTCCCCTGAGGTAACAACAACTATATTGAAGGGTTTTATATACAGCAGTCAACAGACGACTGTTATATATCGTCTGTTGTAAAAAAAAAAAAAAAATAATTGTGGATTTGCTTGAGCTAGAATGAGCTACTAAACAAAATAAATAAAATGTGCAAAAGGGTATTGAAAACATTTTGAACCAATGTTCACACATGTACATAAAATAAATTATAAAACATAATAACCAAATAGGGGTGTGACGAGACGTTTATCTCACGAGACGAGAAGAGACACGAGATTGGGTTCACGAGAACGAGACGAGACAAGATTTTTGCACAATTTTTCAGAAATCCTCAGTGACTAAATTCATGACTGGAAAAATAGTATGCAGGTGCATTTTGCAATCTTTTAACTAAAAATGCACTAATGCATGTCATTTCAGGTCTACTTTATGTTTATCTAATTTAGTATGAATTATCAAATGCAAAGAAAACAATATACAAGCAGTGTAAAAGGTTTTTTTTGACTGGCTTTTCTCCTGTTTGATTTCACACGCGTCTCTTCAGACCGTACTGTACATTTAAGAGCTTCCAGACCTTCTGATTGAGGCTGTGTGTGACCTCCTAACTGAACTCATTGAAGTCTGAAGTGCAAACAATAAGTGCAAGTGCAACCATAATCAAAGTTAACACACAGACTCTTTATAACTGTTTTGAAATTGCTGTTTTATTTTGCACCAGCAGTTATAGGGTTAATGCGGCGAGAAACGAGGCTGGTGTGTTTGTCTCTATGTTGTTTTTCTTGTGTTCCGATTATAAGTTCAGAAACAGAGCCTCCCTTGTCTGTTGTTCTTAAGACAACATTACAGTACAGAGACCATAGCCGCAAATAAACAGTCCAGAGATGGGTTTTGGGAGATTGAAGCCTAATTTGTGTGCAATGCACATCAGGGAGCTTGTGTTTTACTTTCGAATTGGTGATTGCGCGTACTCTGTGTATAGGGAGCAGCGGTGCTGAGCGTGCATTCTACATGTTAAGACATTTATCAGACATGTTGTGCAACGAATCCTCCGCCATTGTCTTGCGAACAGTGAACTGTGATTCGTGCTGCACTGATTACAACGGCAACTCGTAATGGATGAGCAGAGCAGACTTTTACATTCGTTTATAATGGTTTTTATTTTCTTTTATATAAACGGCAAAACGATAGTTTAGGCGAATGTGAGAGTGTAGCGGTGGATGGAATATTCTATTGTAATCTCACCCTCACGCTCAGTCATGGCGATATCGCGAGACAGCTTTTCACTCAACAGGAAATCTCGTCATGTTTTTTTCTCGCGAGAACTCGTGGCATGAGATCTCGTCACACCCCTAATAATCATAGAACATTAGAACAAAAACATGAGTCTTGCTATGGTTCATTTCTTTACTTGTTTCACACACACACACACACACACACACACACACACCCTCTCCGGACCACATTGAATTGACGCCATGGTTGACGCATATAATCAGATTGACGGCTAGATTGGACTAAAAAAACTTCACCTTAATCGATCCGATTGAGCTCGATCTGAATGAAATTTCGATCGGATTGAAAGGGGTGGTTTACCCCTTTTGTAATCCGATCGAGAACATATAAACACTTGATGGGATTGTAAACCGAAACTGGGGTGGTGATGGCGCAGTGGATAAGTAAGTAAGTAAGTAAGTAAACTGTATTTATATAGCCCTTTCACAGACATGAAGGGTCACAAAGTGCTTTACATTAAAAAAAAAAAAAACAAATAATAAAAGAAATAAAAACCACAACACACATTACAACACCACCATATAGCTAGTTAAAAGCTTGTCTAAAAAGATGTGTTTTAAGGTGTTTACTAAAATTTTCTACAGTGTCCAAAGCTCTCAAGACTAATGGAAGAGAATTCCATAGCCTTGGAGCCACCACACAAAACGCACGATCGCCTCTTGTTTTAAAACGAGTTCTAGGAACAGTAAAAAGGTCTTGGCCTGAAGACCTCAAGGAGCGACCGGGAGAGTGAATGTGAAAAAGGTCCTGGATGTACGAAGGAGCTTGATGGTGGAGAGCTCTGTAGGTAATGGTTAAAATTTTAAACTGCACTCTAAAACTAATTGGGAGCCAGTGAAGAGCCTTAAGCACAGGAGTGATATGTGATCTCCTGTTTGTCTTTGCCAACAGTCGTGCAGCAGCATTCTGCACAACTTGCAATTTTTCCATGGAGGATTTGTTTAAGCAAGTGTACAGTGCATTGCAGTAGTCCAGACGAGAGGAAATAAAAGCATGAACAAGCATCTCCAACTCTTCTTTAGAAACCACTGATCTAATCTTAGCGATGTTTCTGAGATGAAAAAAACAGGAACGAACCACAGATTTAACATGACTGCTAAAACTCATCGATTTATCAAAAAGTACACCTAAATTTCGTAGCACATCACCATCTGAGGATGATAAAGCCCCAATGGCCTGCCTAATCTTTGGAGTAATTTTATCAGGAGCCATAATCAACACCTCAGTTTTGTCCGAATTTAGCTGCAAAAAGTTATCAGACATCCATTTATTGATGGAGGCTAAACAATTGTGCAACAGTGACAGTTTATCCAGCCTGTCAGGGCTAAAAGATAAATAAAGCTGAATATCATCAGCATAGCAGTGGTAAGATATCTCTCCAAAACTAGCAATAATCTTTCCGAGAGGAAGCATATATAGACTAAACAGCAGGGGGCCGAGCACAGAACCTTGGGGCACACCACAGGTTAAAGGTGCAGAGTCTGACATATAAGGCCCTATGGATACAGAGAAACTCCGGTCTGTAAGATAGGAGGAAAACCAATCCAGAGCAGATCCAGTAATGCCCACAGTTGTTCTTAGTCTATTGATCAGAGTGCAGTGATCTACAGTGTCAAACGCTGCACTTAGATCTAATAGAACCAGCACAGAGCATTTACCTCCATCAGCAGCCATCAGAATATCATTTGAGACCCTAAGGAGGGCAGTCTCAGTTGAATGTTTTTTACGAAACCCAGACTGAAATTTATCATGAATATTATGTAGATTTAGAGCATTATTTAGCTGGTCCGCCACAACCTTTTCTAGGATTTTAGAAATAAATGGCAATTTAGAAATAGGCCTATAATTTTTGTATGAAGCTGCATCAAGTTTGCTCTTTTTCAAGAAAGGCTGAACTATAGCATGCTTAAAACAACTAGGAACCTGGCCCAGCTGAAGAGATAAGTTTAAAATTGAAACCAAACATGGGCCAAGATAATGTATGGATTTTAAAAGCAGAGATGTAGGTAGAATATCAACTGGGCTTTGAGATGGTTTCATCGTCCCCACTAATTTAAGGATGTCATTCAGGGAGATAGGGCAGAAAGAGTCCAATATTGAAGGTCTGTGCTGATTAATCTGGGGGTCTGCTGACGGAACAATGCCTGCCCTGACAGTTCTAACCTTGTCCACAAAATAACGCAGAAAGTGGTTGCAGTCAGCATTAGAAAACACAGAGACACTACAAGTAGCAGGAGACACAATGTTGTTAATAGTATCAAAGAGAAATTTAGGATTTTTTTTATTTGCAGATATAAGATTGGTAAAGTAAGAGACTCTAGCAACCTTAATCATTTTGTTTAAGTCCATTAAAAGCTCTTTAAGATACAGGCGGAGTTACTTTCCATAAGCGCTCCGTTCTCCGACAAACACACTTTAAACTGATAAGACACATGCCTTTGGTGTGAGAGTCCCGGGTTGGACTCTACTGTGAGACACCAGTGTGTCCCTGAGCAAGACACTTAACCTCTAGTTGCTCCAGAGGCGTGCGACCTTTTTGGATAAAAGCGTCAGCTAAAGGACTGCGCATGTGCAATGACGCTAAATAAACGCAATGATGGATGACGAGCGGAACGACCTGGTTGTTTTTTACTGTCTATGGTTTTTCCTGTTGAAAAAAGTGTCATATTAATAAGTTTCCCATCATTCTAAAATTCTCATTTTACTCGCGCGCATGTGAAGTGAAGCAGGACAACCTCCCACTAGTGAATGTTTTGGATTCTCATCCACAGACTTTGGCGGCGGGGAGGGGCATTTTTACTGCATGATCAGTACGGCAGAGATGACCAGAGACGAATTAATATTACGTCTGCTGCTGAAAACAAATAAAGAACCAACAGAGGAGAATATTTATGAGCAAACAGCGGGGAAACTCAAAAAATCAGATCCGATTTAAAACTTGTCACATATAAACGCACACTTCAATCCGATTTCAGTTTCGGTTCATTTGAGACGAGAGTCAGTTCACGCGCCGGCACCTCCGTTTCGTGATGACCTATTTTCTACTATTTACTTATTTATTATATCAATGCAATTGGTTGATGTAAAAATGTATTAAAATTAAGATACAATTAATAAAAACGAAATTCACTCTAAAGAAAGCCTTTGTGTATATTTTATTATGTTAACTTCAAATTTAAAAATGTGGTAGCCCTACGTCTGACACATCACACGCCACTGTTATGATGGCAATTTCAGTAGATTTACTCATTATTACATTGTTCTGGAAACACAATAATGTTAGGAAACTAAAATGTGGTAGTATCGTGCTACTGCGCACATTATATCAGCTGCAGTTCTGGCGCCTCAGTCCCAATACTGTAAAACTACTAAGGAAGATGTGTTAACTAATCAGTATGTAATATAATTTTATGATTGTGTTAAGTATC